ATGACGCATATGAAGTATCGAATTCAATTTGTGTGTAGGTAAATGCCGTACTTAATAGACAGGCATCGTAGTGACGAAACAAACATGCATAGCGAACAATTATGAACTATCGATATTCGGCTTAAATAATTATCGAACTCAACTAAAATTATTATTTTCTTATTAACTAATTTATAGGACAATTCTAGTATTGATTATAGTGTAGAGAATTTAGCGATGATAGAAATAATAGCGAAATCCAATTCGATTACGTACAGCTGTAATAGTCATTATTAATTTGAGAAAACAGTGCTTTTTTGTTTCATAAGTTATAACTATAAATCTATCGATTCCAACTTCTATAAGAATAAAAATCGAAAATCGATAAGATTCATGACTGATTTTACACAACCATCCCAATTAAATTTGAAGTGAATTGTCAAACTAATCTAAATTATTTAGACACACTATAGTAACTTTGGTACAAATGGAAACACAGATAAGAAAACCTTACTTTTTAATTTTCTTCTTTTATCTTTGTGGTTTTTTTTTTCATTAACAAAAGCGTTGTTCACTTTATAAATAGAAATATTGTTTTTACAGTGTGCGCGGCTTTGAGCACTCTCTTACCCAAGGATAAACAGCCAAGAAACGATAGATGAGAAAAAATGATTGAAGAAAAACTGGGAATTTAAAAATAAATATGCACCTTTTTTACTATACAATAAAATGTAACGATTGATTGTTTTTTTTGTACTTTCGTATATAAATAAAATCGTTGGTGTGACATTTTTTATGCTGTCTAATAAAAGACAAGTTTGCAATTGAATTCAGAAAATCTGATACAAATGTCGTAGGTAACTTTTTTAATATAAATAATAATTCTTAATACATAAAATTAGTGAAAACAATTACTGTTTCACTTAAGCAAGTGATTGTTCCCATTATGTAACAAAATGTAAATCCATTGAATATTTTAAACGTGTTTTTATTATGCAATATCTACGAAGTCTGACTAATAAATTGTGACAAACAGAATAATTTACAATTCAGATTATCTAGACTTTTACAATGTCGTTACAATAACGGTAAGGAAGTTTATTATGGTTCTTCAAGAATAGACCTGAAAGAACGCTTGGAATTTACACTGTATATTTTAAACTTAAAAATGGGACCCACCTGCAAGCATAACCTTTCGGATAAAAAAAGAATTATCAAAGTCGGTCCACTAGCGGCGGTGTTATGCCGTAACACACATAAAACAAAAAAAAACATACAGACGAATTGAGTACCTCCTTCTTTTGGGAAGTTGGTCAAAAATGATGACGTAACACTACTTATATCTAAGACAATCAATAGTACATTTAAAAGCCTGTTAGGTTGTTTACGTTTTCATTTATTTTATCTCTAGCTTTCGCCCGCGACTCCGATCGCGTGGAATTAAAAAAACTAAGTAGCCTATGTGTTCTCCCAGACAATACTCTACATCTACGCCATATTACATCGAGATCCGTTCAGCCGTTTAGGCTACAAATTTTAACAAACATCCATCCATCTATACTTTCGCATCTATAACATGAATAAGTAAGATTACCTAGTGATTTGTAACTGTTAGGTTGAACAAAGTTTAAACGGAGTAAAACTCTAGTTACGTTGTTCGGAAACGCATTTGATGAAGTAGTCGAAACAATAATACTTACGAACGGTTAAATGTATCTGGGAAACCAGCCATTAACATATTAGCTCACTATTTTATATGTTTTATTTATTTTAGATTGATAGTTAGTCACAACGTAAAGGAAGTATAAGGAAAATATCCTCTCGACAATAAACACTGTTACAGATTCCGTCAGCCTTCAATAAAACAGCATTGTTTGTTAATTTTAAACCTTAGACTTAAACTATTATTAAGTAGATAGAAGATAATAATTGAATTATCCTTATTTATTAAAAAAAAAACAAGTAGTAGAGAAGGTAAGGAGTAAAAGGTTAGCATGGTCATGTTATGAGGAGGGATGAATCGCATGTTACAAGGAGAACGTTAGTTATGAGTGTGGAGATACACCGGTAGAGGTAGACCTAGAAAGAGATGGATGGATTGCGTAAAATGTGACAATCAAAAAAGGGAGTGATGACTGAGATGACGTATGATAGAGTTATGTTGAGGAAAAAAACCTGTTGCGCCACTACGGGAGTAGAATAACGAGAAACATGATGATGATGGTTAAAAAAATAAAAACCTTTTCCTGCAAATGCTATAAAATTATCGGCTTTGACTTTTAAAAGACAGAAATTTGCAAGCTCATGTATTCTGCTTTGACAAATAAAAAAACAACATTGAATTAAAACTTGCTTGATGCGTAAACATTACGTAAATTATAAATTCTTTTTTTTTTTTAAATGAAAACAAAAGTCGTAAATATGCATCCAAAAATCCAAGCGAAAGCCAATGCAAGCTATAAATTCGATTTTTTTCTGTATCCTTAAGGTCAGTGTCCGAGGGATGCAGCATTTAATGACCCTGCAACTTGTTCAAGTAGTAACTTGCCATCAGAGATGCGAACGGTGCGGGTTTGATTCTCGTGTGCGCGACAATAACAACAAAGTTTTTGTTTTTGTTATCATTGGATCTGTCAGTGTAAGTGTAGTTTGAAGTGAATTATCTGTTATAAAAAAGAACCATTTTTACTTTTTTAAATTTCTTTTTCCAATTAAGGCATAGAAAATACCAGCCAATGTTCCTTTTAGAACAGATGTGACATGTATGAAATCTATCGGACACTTGCTTAGATATTTTATTTATTCCGATAAAGTCCTAAGGGTTCAAATATATAATACAAACAAACTAATTGACGTTATAAATTTCTCAATAAATCTTTTTATTTTTTTTGGTAATGGCTTATATTTACATATGCAATCTTTTTAAGAATGCTTATGCATAAAATCATTTGCTTCCTACTCAAAGAAAAAAACATAAATAATATGTTTGAAGAGTTTTTAAAAATGTTTTTAAAGTGGACAATCGGGCTAATGCAATATTAGTCCGGTATCATCCCACCAAACGGACGCCATGTCTTTTGAATAAAAAAATAAATTCTTAAATTATTTATGCTCTTGCTCTATTAGAAATTAAATAGAATGAAATCAAAACAGTATGATTAAGCATCTAGTACTATGACAGTGATAAGGAAACCTAGATATAATTAGTGTATCTCAGAAGAAAATGGTCAGTTGTGAAACGGTTATAGAAGGCGCGGACGCGGGAACGCCGCCATCTTAACAGATTTATTTTTAATCTATGACAATTAAAAAAAAAGCAAGATAGTAAACAGTAACGAGTAAACAGGTCAGTGTTTAGGTTACATTTTTTAAACGTCACAAATTAAAATTAATTATTAAAAAAAAATCTTAAATATTTGAACTAATTAATTAAAAGTGTAAATTAGCGCTTTTAATTCTAATGTAATGCAAATTATATTATTCGACTATTAGAAATTTAGTTATCACTTTCGGTTTCTACTGATGAAACAGTTTTTTTATCAACTTCTACAGACTCTTGGTCCGTAATCTTTTTTACAGTTTGTTTTTCTTTTTTTTTTGTTGCGTAATCCTTATAACACTAGTGAGTTCCTCTTTTTTAAACAGTTATTGAGTCTTTGTAGATACACAAGCTTTTTAATATCACAGGAAAAAACTATTTCCAAAACCAATTCAGTAAATGTACAAGGAAACTGTAATAATCAATACAACAGTTATGCAAAAGAAAGGAAAAGTATTACGAATATTGCAAAGAAATAATAGTTAAAAGTACCGATGCTGAAAATTATTATTATTCGACAAACAATATATTTTCCGAAGCAAATTCAATTTAATCGATGTTACTTGTTTCTTTTGTTGGTACTATTGTTTTTACACAAATTACATTGCTTGTAAATCTATTAATGACTGAGATGATGGATGATAAGAGTTATTCGGAGGACGAAAACCCAGTGCAGACAATCCGGGAGTAGGATTAGGTAGGGGAGATTGCTTGTATTGCATTAGAGCTTATTTCCACTAGAGATCACCCGACTCT